ACTAGAAATCAGTGGTTAAGTTGTATTTACAACACTGTTCCAGAACACTTCTACCCAAATATTCAGATGTGTGCAGCACATTTTATGGAGGACTGTGTCCTGAACCTGCAAAGTAGCCTACAATGTGTCTGTGCACAATGGGTGTTCTATAAAGTGGGGCAGTTCCAACTTTGCAAGGACAGTCTGGCGCTTCTGACTCACAGCCTGTAAGTACGTTTTTCATATTTAAAGGATTTGCCTCTGACGATTCAATGCGAGTTTTGAGCAGTGTAGATTAGCGCTTGTTGTTTGTCATTTCTCCAATCACAAATGCAGACATGGTTTTATGTTTACACGGCGCGACGCAATGCAACGCGTAAAAAGACAGTATAAGTCATTATAATCCGTAATTATGTCCCCACTGGATGCAACAAATGCCTCGTTTATAATGGGTTTTATCTAGTCGTGCCGAGACATGGCATAACAGTATGGTGAGGGGTGTAACATTTCCGTCACACACTTGAGGAATTCGGCCAATCACAACGCACTGGATAGCTGGCCAATCAGAGCACACCTCGCTTTTCAGACCGATGAGCTTTGTAAAAATCGACGTGTTTCAGAAAGGCGGGGCATAGAGGAGAAACAATAATGTACAGTATGTGGAAAATGTGTTCTTTGAACCTTAAACCGCATAAACACATTGCATTACACCAAATAATGTTCTTTTTAGCAACGTCATATGACCCCTTTAAAAAACATTACAAGTCTTACTGATCCCAAACTTTTTCACAGTAGTGTACTTGAAACACTGTCACAGTACTTTTTACAGTGAATCTCTGGCAACCACGGCTGCGGTTTTTTTACTGTAAATTTAAGAGGATATTTTTTTTACAGAGCACTACTCCTTTAAGATTTTGTATATTTCCACACATATTTGATATTTTGATCTACACTGTGATTGGATTTTCATTTAAATCTAGGATACTATAAAGTATAAAGAAATTCATTTTATAAAGTAATTTGTTTTATAAAGTGATTGATTGATGAAGTAAAGGTAAGGGTACTAGAGAGGGACAGATCAATGGAGTTAATTCAAAACTTGAGATGCAGGTATGTCTTCCGTCACCTACCAGGTCAAGCAGGTGCATATCACTGTTCTTGACGTTCTTCCCTGGGCTCAAGAGCAGACCGAAACACCTGAAACACAAACATGTTCCTCACTACAACAGAACCACACAGGAACTACACATATCAGCTGTAAAACTGCATATCCACACACCCATCTGTGGGTGCAGAGCCTGAGAAAACATACATAAACAGAAAAGCCCAGCTGTGCACTCAGTTCAACACAACATCAGTCACCGTAAAGAAAAACCATCCTACATGTTCTCATGGCCCGAAAGGAACATTTAAGTGCAGAAAATACATAATTCAGCGCATGTTTATCATTAATAAATGAATTATTGGTTGTAATGGGAGACGCAAGGCTCTTCTGAATGAGAAGAGAGCTGTGTCGCTGAGGAAAGCACGTACCTCTCGATGGCCAGCTCTTTGTTGGACATCTGCTGGACGTAGATCACAATCTTTTTGTCCATGCCTGGCCGCAGTTTGAAGCTCTGTCTGTCCTTGTCCTTTGATACGGCACTGTTGGTCACAAAGGGAGTTTTGGGTGAATCTCACATATCCAGATTTCACCTCAAAATCAAAAGATTTATTTATTTTGATGACAATTAAGCCTATTTTTCCTATGTGTCTCCAAATTTTACAGCTGAGAATTCCCATTATTCTCAATGGTGATTCTTATTAGATGCTCATTACTTTAGTAAAACATTTTGGTCACACTTTATTTTAAGGTCCAATTCTCGCTATTAAAAACCATTAACTATGATTTTTGCCTCAAACTCCTAATTTGCTGCTTATTAATAGTTTATTAATACCTTATTAATAGTAAGGTAATTGTTAGGTTTAGGTAGGATTAGGGATGTAGAATATGGTCATGCAGAATATGTGCTTAATAAGCACTAATAAACAGCCAATACGTTTAAAATAGGCATGCTAATAAAGCAACTAGTTAATAGTGAGAATTGGCCCCTAAACTAAAGTGTTACCAACATTTTTTGTATTAAATAATCAAAAGTAAAAGCTTGGCAAAACTCAAAGAGAAAGTGTTTACTGTTAACTACATATGTTTTGTTGGTGTTTAAAGTTGTGACATTTTGGTCAAATACATATGGATAACACATATACTACTAATCAAACGATTGAGGTTGGTAAGATTTTGAAACGTTTCCGAAAAGTCTCTTCTGCTCACCAAGGCTGCAATTTTTTGACCAAAAATACAGTAAAAAAAGAAATATTGTGAAATACTATTACAATTTAAAATAACTGTTTTCTATGTAAATATATTCTAACATGTAATTTATTCTTGTGACGCAGAGCTGAATTTTCAGCATCATTACTCCAGTCTTCAGTGTCACATGATCCTTCAGAAATCATTCTAAAATGATGATTTGCTGCCCAAGAAACATTGCTGATTATCAATGTAAAAAACAGTAGTGTTGTTTCATATTTTCTGTGGAAACATTATTTTAACATTAAAATATTTTATGATTATGTTTACTATTATTTGAAATATATACAGTACTTATGAGTGATAATAATGATTCAACTAAAAAGACCTTTTTAAAAATAAGCCCCAAAAGACTAAAACAAAATCTTTGTCAAAATGAACTCGCATTTCTTGCATCCAAATGGAGCGAAAGAGCCTTTCAAGGTAATTTTGTCATTTTTTCCTGTTGTTTTTATCCAAAGTGACTTACAGTCCATTTATAGCAGGCACAGTCTCTCTGGAGCATCAAGCTCACACTGATTCAGTTATTTTGGGCACTTTAGCCCTTTCCTTAAATACTTTTCTCTCTTCAGCCTTTTCTGTGCAGCTTTAAAAAGCTGGTATAAACACACTGCATACAGGGCGCTTACTTAATTTTACTTAACTTTAATATTATAATTACAATATACACTTAATTAATCAATATAATAATATTAATAATAATTATAACATTATAATATGGAGCTGTGGTGTTGTTCTGTATGCCAATGCTTGTTACACTGAACAATGCTTTTTTTTTTTTTTTACAGTTACAGTCAACAAGTCAACAAAGGATATGCTTCCTTTGAAGTGAGATCTTTCCCGTGCAGGTCTGTGTTAACAGAACCCTGTGTAGGGCAGAGGAATGAGGCGAAGATGTAAGGGATGATAAATGACAGGAAGCGTGTGTCAACACTTCTGAGAAAGAGAAAGAGGAGGAGACGAAGAGGTGGAGGAACTGCAGAACTATTTTTATCATTTCCCTCATCAAAACCGGGCAGATGACTTCCGAAGTCTGGATAGCAGAAAATAACACCTAATTGAATTATTCAGTTAGAGACCAGACCTCTGGGGTTAAACGCAGATATGTGCGGGAGAACTGAATCAACTTTAATGGAGGGAGAGAAGCAAAGTGATTCACCTAAATGTGCCCTTCCCATCATCCTCTTTGATCTCCAGACTGACGGTGAAGGTGAAGACGTCGCTGTCTGGCGTAAGGGGCGGAGCCTTGGCTGTGAGTGACGCTTTATTGGCTGATCGGCGGAAAGCAGTCGCAAAGCTGTAGAGTATTCGGCTGACCTGCAAAGATGCACACACACACAAACACACATCTCAGTGATTGGAGTCAAAACAGTCTCCAGTGATAAAGGCTGTGTTACAGTGACTCACTGTTGGACTGTTCTCAGGTTATCAACACACTCATTAGCGCGCACACACACACACACACACACACAGAAATACACCTTGACAGCTGCATCCCTGCCGTTTTAACATTTTACTCCACACACAATTGGTACGTGTCAGGATGGTTGTCTGGCCGACCATCAATCAACTAATCATTTAGTGAAAGTTTTTTTGCAACAGTGCTTTCAAATCTCAATTCTCCAAAATCTCAATTGCAACACTTTAGTGTGCAGTACAGTAAAACAGTTTCATCTTTTAAACTCATCACCACCACGACACCCAAGTATGTGTGTACATTCACCATGTATTGGCTTAAACATAACTTAACAGCTATAAACACTTGAATGCACATCATTTTGAATCTTGGATGCATAAGTGGTTTTGTGCCAGTCTGCATTTGAGTTTTACTTATGATGGCTTTAATAGTTTTGTGCAATAAATATTTTTAATTTGGTGGCCTATTTATTTGTAGAATATGTGTTACATCATAAAAATTACAAAAACAAAATCAATAACATCATATATATTATAAAATATATATATATTTTTGTAATTCTTATGGAAGCAAAATTTTGATATGTGAGCATTTCTGATATCATAGGACAAATACTAAAAAACAAGAGCCCCCCCTTCAGACTAAACCAGGAAACTGCAATTCTTTCAGCAAAAAATAAAGAAATAAAAAAATGACATGATACAACAATCAAGAGTCTCAGGTCCAAATCATATTTGACCACAAAATCAAAAAATAGGAAAAGAAAAACAATAAACCATATACCTATTTTCAAAACAATTAGGATTTGTACACTGTCCCCCAGAAATCTCATTAAGAAAAAATATTTCTGCATAATTAGCATAATACAAAACTAGCTTAACTGTAATGAAAATGAAAAATATAACCTGGACATTTCTTGACCGTCTTTGTAAGAATCACCCAAAAATTCACAAATATCATTCCACAAACAATTTTTT